GCACAAAATGGATTAAGACAACCATAGCAGTAACATTTTCAAGAGTTAAGGACATCAGTATAGAAATAAAATTGTCAGGAACAGAGATATTTTATGCATTTTAATATGAGAAATGGTAATGAAGTATAGCTAAGTTATGGTAGAAAGCTGAAGAAATTGTCCTGTGATGGCTTTCACTTTCTCAATAAAGACAAGGTCTATGGGGCTGGGGTTGTGGCTCGGAAGTAGAGTATTCACCTACCCTAGCACGTGTGAGGCACTGGGTTCAATTCTCAACACCACATAAAAATAAACAAATAAAATAAAGTTATTGTGTTCTTCTACAACTAAAATAAACATTTAAGAAAAAAGACAAGGTCTGGGGCTGAGGTTATAGCTCAGTGGTAGAGCACTAGCTTCACACATGTGAGGCCCTGGGTTCAATCCTCAGCACCACATAAAAATAAATAAAATAAAGGCACTGTGTCCATCTACAACTAAAAAATAAATATTAAAAAAACATTAAAAAAAGAAAAAGGGAAGAAAGGAAAGGGAGTTTTAAATTGAAGGTTTAAAAAAAGAAAAAAGTTTAAAATACTGATTTTGTTTTTCTTTGGCAGATCTGAAAGACTGATATATTATGTTGTAGGATGAGACAATACAGAAATAATACAACTGCAAATGTTGAAGAAGGGAGAAGGAGAAAGGAAAGGAGAACAAGCTTATTGATCAACATAGAAGAAATAGATAAGACTTGAAGAGTATAGTTAAAAACTGTCAAATTCATATAACAAAATTAAATAAAAAGCCAGGGTTTAGGGAATTTTTTTTTAAATAGTTAAAGTACAAAGGTAACTTCCAGAACAAAAATTCAAACTTGACTACCAAAAGTTTTTGTCAATAAGATTAAAGAGCAAAGACTATATATCTCATAGAGAGGAGGCATAGCAAATTTAACAATGCCTTTTTCATAATACTAAAATACTGATTTTCAAGAATAGACATACTAGGGGCTGGGTTTGTGGCTCAGTGATAGAACGCTCACCTAGCACATTCAAGGACCTGAGTTCAATCCTCAGCACCACATAAAAATAAATAAAATAAAGGTATTGTCCAATTGCAACTAAAAAATAAAAATAAATATTTTTTAAAAAGAGTAGATATACTAGGGAATTGTAGGAACATTAGCAGTATTGAGAGTACATTTGAGACATATTGTGCTTAGAATGAAATGAAAAAGTTGTTTTGCTCCATCTATATTCAAATCTGAATATAACAAATTGGCCAAATTAGATTTAATCAATTTTGGGATTTCCCAGATGAGCAAATTCAAACAATAAATTAAGGGCAGGAATTTAAAGGGTATTTGCAATAAAGTGACTACAATGATGGACTACTAAGTCCAAACTAAGAAATGGGGTAAAGAGGACATGAATATTTCAAAATGCTTGCCTTACATTCCCAAATAGTCTATAAACTCCAGGGCAAAACCATTAACTTTATACTCTGTATACCTCACAAAAGTGCAAGCCTTTGCTAACTGACATATATTCTCTATATTCCAGAACTCCGAGTGACTGAATCAGACTCCTTTAAAAAAAAAAAAAAAAAAAAAAAAAAAGTTGATTTCTAAAGATATGGAGAGTAAATTTAGGGTTGAAATGTTTGAGTTCTAAAAACTAGGAGACTGGGTTCCTATGATATTTCCTTGTAAACAAAAATGAATTGCTGATTAGTTAATCAAAGGAAGACTATGACAATAGACTAAACAATTAACTTCACATGGGAAAATAAAACTTAATTGCTACACAGCATCTATCTCAGAACTCCTACTATCCCACAAATGAGAATTACTGCATTTCTGGCACTCTCTCAGCAAAAGCTCACTATTCAGATGAAGTGAAACTTTGATACTACTTCTAACTATAATCTAACTTACTATGAAATTTAAAATAATTCTAGAAGTTACCTGACCATCTGCTATAATACTTACATAATACATATAAACTGCTTAAAGTCATTCATTTTCATTGCTTGATTTACACTCTCCATATTTAACTATGTCAAGGAAATATATACTTTTAATAGGTTAGGATCAAATAAAAATTATCACCATCTTGTATGCATATAGATTTTCAACTATTTGTTTCACTAAGACCAAAATATATAGCTTAATCAGTTCAGTTCAGTAAAATAAAGAAAATAGATCCAGATAACAACATATTAAGAAAAATAACTTTGATAACAGAAAAAAAATGGTTTGTTTTTCAGTCTATGTTCCTACTCAACTCACTAAATAGAATAAGCAAATAATTAGCAAAGAATTGAAATACCTTTCTAATCTGTAACATAAGAATACTAAAGTAGATAATGTTAAAGTTTCTTTTTACTCCAAAAATTCTATTTCTAATCTAGTGCTTTGGCTTTCTTTCAAAGGCCTTTGAGAAAAGGATGTTAAGAGTCAAGTTTTCAATTCATGATACACTCCTTCCTTCTCTGCATTACACTTAACAGAAAACTCTAGAATAAAGCAGACAAATAGGCCATCTAAGTTAATTATTAGTAACATACTCCATAGTATGAAACTGTTTCACATCCATTCTTTTCACACTTTTTTTTTTTTTAAATTTCTCTCTCCAAGCCTCAGGCCTAGCAGTGGCACCACCTGACTGTCAGGCCTCCCTAAAAACTTCGAGTTTAATGAACACAGACACAGAGCTTACTTGGGAAAACAGAGGTTTCTTTCTTATCTTTCTGTTCCCATCTCCAAGTCTAGGGTTTAATGCATAGCAGATCCCTAATGTAATTCCTCTGAAAAATGTATTAACCAGTGCAGTTAAAGTGTGGTCACCTGAGATCTTCTTAGAATGCAGAATTTCAGGCCCCACCAAGATCTAGTGAACCTAAAACTCTGGAAGTGGTACCCATAACTTTATGCCTTTAAAAGAGATGTGAAATTCCGGTATATACTTTTTGAGAATCACCATATTAAACTTGCCAGGAAATCATCTTCCTGTTAATTACTGCTAATTAACTAGCTAACAAAAAAAAATAGAAAGAAAGAAAAAGTTGATTTTTCTCAGCTGCCACCACTTAGAAATGCTTGAACCCACATGACATTGTCAACAATTTAATTCCTGTCTGCCCACAAAACAAACTTTAATTAAGCTCTTTGAGCCTAAGTTCCCTAATTTGTAAGGTAGGAATAATTCATACACCTCAATAAACAACAGAGCTTACAGGTTCCTTTCCTTTCTTCTCTAACTTGCCTGTACCAGGTCCCTGCTACTTTACAGAGGCAATGTTTCTAAAAAAGACAGCACTCTGGCACTCTTTTGAGAAATGTCATCAATGCTCCCTACACAGAAAAGCTCTCTAATGAGGTTTTCGTATGGAAAATACCATAGTAGGGAAAAGAAGTGCTAAGAGTATTACAGAATCATACAACGAATAGAAATACTAAAAAGGTGGTCCACAGCTAGGAGAAAAAGTAAATCAGACAAAAGTGCGCACCTCTATAATTTTAAAAAAATTATAACACTGACATTACATAGAAGACAGGCAGCTTTCTCTTAGGTGTTCAAAAAAAAAATCATTGATGACTGCACATAAAAAATATGGGGCTGGGGTTGTGGCTCAGCAGTAGAGCACTTGCCTAGCATGTGCTAGGCCCTGGGTTCGATCCTCAGCACCACATAAAAATAAATAAATAAAATAAAGGTATAAAAAATATGGAAGGGGAAAATATAAAAATGCAAGAGAAACTAAAATATATAACCCATATTAAAATGGTCCAGGCCTTCAAATTCCAATTTCCTAAATTTTCTGGGGCAGCTTCTGTCAAACTCTTTGTCACCTTACATATTCTGTTTTGAGGCTGTAATATAAATATAAATATATATATTATAAATATATATACATACACACACACACATATGTATATATACATTTAGTCATACATAGTCACCAACAAAACAAAAAAGACACTGCCATGAATGAGACCTAAAAACTGAATAGGATTACTTTTTCGAAAAAGTTGAGAATTTTGATAGGATATCTCTATAAATAATTCCCAACTTCAGTTCCTCACTCCCTCTTAATGGAATGTTCAAACGCTCAATTTGACCTCCTTGACAACTATAACCTTTTACTGAGATGAAAACAGATCGGATGTCATTATAATCGAATATTTAGCACAACAGTCAAGCTGGGGGCATCCGTTAAATTGGCACTTTCAGCTTTAATTCTTACTCCTCCCTGCTGACACCCAAGATGGGACAGCCCTCGATTTTCGCCATTCTGTTGGAATAGGCAATATTCCAAGTGAAGTGAAATTTAAGCGCTCCCATCTTTCTCAAGGGACCTTTTTCAGAGAACTCGGAAAAGTAAAGCCAGCCCTCAGCTGAACGACACCTTACTGGTAGATGTAAACCACAAACCTGGTGTCCTGCCCTCCGCGAGCTCAGATCCCAGCACCGACTCAGGATGCACTAACCTAACAACTTTTAAGCCCGGCACAAGGGTCCTAACGTGACGGTCACTCACTTTTTAAACAGTCAATGCAGTCCCCTTCACGTCTCCCGGCCGAACGTAACACGCCACCCCCTGCCACCTGGGAACTCCAAAGCCAAAGAAGCCTCCCATTTTGGCCACCTTTATAGCCCCCTCCCAGAGCCACTGACCAAGCGAGAGTCCCAAGCGAGGCCGGACCCGATGGAAGCGCGGGTCTCCGCGTCCCATGACGCTCCTGAAGTCGCTGCCCTGTGCCCTATTCCCTGCCACGCTGCCCGGGACCCGGGCGGCCCCACTCCTCACTCCGCACCCTCTGTCCTGGCCTCGCGGCCCCCAGCGCCCTCGCTTTTCCCCCCCAGACAAACCCGGAACCGGGTGCCAGCCCCCGCCCAAGCCCGGCTCAGGCCCAGGTCGCGGCGCCGAGCCCCGGCTCCCGCCCGCCGTCCCGAAAGTCGCGGCGGGGGCCCTGGCCCGGGAGCCCCTGCCCCGGAGGGCAGAGCAGGACTCACCTTCGTACTGCAGGTCCACCAGGACCAGCAGGAAGGGGAACACCGCGCCCAGCCGGCTGGTCACAGAGCCGGGGGCCACCATGTCCGAGGGCGCGGCGGGTGAGGAGCAGGAATGGTGCGGGGCCCACCAGCCCGCGCTGGCGCCCAGGCAGCAGCTACGCCCGCCGCCCGCGGTCGGCTCTCAGTCAGGCCTCAGAGGCGACTGGCGCCCACCGAGGAAGGCAGCGGTGGGCGGGGCCCCGGCGACGCTACGCCCCGAGCGCCGCCACCGCCCAATCGCCTTCCGGCAGGTCGCTGTCCTACTGGGCTCGCCTGGGTCGTGGTTGGCGCTGATAGGCTGCGGAGGCGGCCGCCCCGCCCCGGCTCTGATAGGGTAACGTGGAAGCACGAGACAAGGCTGCGTCCTCCGGTGGTGGAACTGTCAGCCGGCCCCAAACCGCTGCGGCCGGCGGGAGTAAGGCGGCCCCGAGCCTGGGCTGCGGCCGCCGAGTCCGCATGCGCGGGCCGCGAGAGCGCTTTTGGGCCAGTCCCCGCCCGACCGGCCAGGTTGGCAGGGCGGAGGACTGGAGCAATCCGAGTTAAAAGGTGCAGCTGCTGCGCCCAGACTGGGAAGGCCAAATGGGGTCCCAGGAAGTCTGACGGGGGATTTGCGGCACCTAGAATTGAGTTCTTGGAAGCAGCACTTAACACCCTCTCCCGGAGCATCTCGGAACCAAGAGGCTCAAGAGGAAGACAGAAAGAAACAGGAGAAACTGGGGGTCTGTTGAGCTGGGTGGTCTAATGGAGAGAAGTACACCATCGACCTAAGGCAGGTAAGTGATAATGGCTTGGGAACCCCTCTCCTCGACTATCCATCAAACCATCGTGTCCAGAAAAAAGGAGCAATGTGGAAGATTCTGAGACGAAGAGAACATGGACACTGAGTGGCTAAAGAGGACAAGGGGCTCCTGAGAGTGCTGCCAGTGTCAACATTAAGAAATAAGGAGACCTACCAGAACCGATGTTGCATTTCTTGCTCACTGGAGGAAATTCATAAGAGCTGGGAACTTAAACAAGATAAGCTCAAGTTATTCCGTTTGGCATTAAGCTTGTTCATGACCATTTCCTCTAGCATAAATATGCACACTATACACCTGCGATGTTTTACACAGAACAAGGTTTTCAGTGACAAGCACTAAGTGCCTACTTACTACTTTGGCCATGAGTGTGTATTTGCTACTATAGTGTTATTTCATGCCATAGATGAACTCATGAATTACACATTGGATAATGAATTTATGATTTCCTGAAGATATACTAGTAGGACAAAAGGAGAATGGCTTCTGTATCAAACGAAGCTGAAATGAATAAAGGGTTTCAAGGAAGAAAAAACAAAAATCACTGAGTCCTTGATTATTTGTAGTGAAGGCAGCATAATATAATGTGAAGAACAAAGGATTCCAATAGAGTAATTGTAGGAAAAATTACTCTATTGTTTGCATTTATATATGTAACCTTTTAAAAAATTAAAAATTAAATTTCTATGCCAACCCATACTACTATTAATTATAACAGCAAAAGACTTAAAATAGTGGTAGCATATTTAGAAAAATTATGGTATGTCCAAAATTTAAAATATTGTACAATTTGTAAAGGTTGACCTATGTTTATTGACCAGATTGATATGTTTATTTAAAAACAGTGCTGTGTTTTCTGATTTTACATTAAATTAATGATAATATTTTATATAGAGTGAGTTAAGTTTAAAATCTTAAACTTTATAAATTCTAAGCTAAGTGACAGAATGTAATGACTGGTGTCCTTAGAAAGGTTTGATCTTATAAAATTTCTCTTATAATTTTTTTTTTCTTTTTTGGTACCGGGGATTGAACTCAGAAGCACTCGGCCACTGAGCCACATCCCCAGCCCTATTTTGTATTTTTTATTTAGAGAAAGGTCTCACTGAGTTGTTTGATACCTTGCTTTTGCTGAGGAGCCTCTTGCCTCAGCTTCCCGAGCCACTGGGATTACCTGCATGGCTGATCTTATAAAATTTCTGTAATTACACAAATCATAAGTGCTTACTATTTTCCAGATCCTTACATCTAAAGCCAAACATTAAATATAAATGTTATATGAGGAGATATTCAATGGATATAAGTTTTAGTTTTTCAAGATGGAGAAAAGTTCTAGAGATCTTGTTTTCATCAATCTTTTCATTGCTGTGACCAAGAGACCCAACAAGAACAACATAGAGGAGGGAAAGTTTATTTGGGGCTTACAGTTTCAGAGATTTCGGTCTATACATGGCCAACTCCATACGTCTGGGTCCAAGTTGAGGGAGAACATCATGGCAGAAAGGCATGGCAAGAAGGAAGCAGAGAGCTGCACTCACCAGGGACCAACTGCATGCCCCCAGTGACACCTCCTCCAGCCACACCCTACCTGCCTATAGTTACCACCCTGTTAATCCCTGTCAGTGAATTATATCAGAAATATAATGACCTAATCATTTTACCTCTGAAATGTTTGCATTGTCTCACATATGAGCTTTTGGGAGATACCTTGTATCTAAACCACAATGTCTATTGCACAATAATTTGAATCTACTTAATGTTACACAACCATACACTTTAAAATGGCTTTAAAAAAGTAAATGTTATGTATTTATCCCCACAGATCAAAAAAGAATCAGCACAGCCATGGGAAAAGGCATAAAAATAAATATTTTTAAGTAAAGTTGGGGCTAGGGATGTGGCTCAAGTGGTAGCGCGCTCGCCTGGCATGCACGCGGTCTGGGTTCGATCCTCAGCACCACATACAAACAAAGATGTTGTGTCCGCGGAAAACTAAATAAATAAATAAATAAATAAATATTTAAGAAAAAAAAACTCTCTTTAAAAAAAAATAAAGCTTAAGTGGCTGATTATATTAATACTAGAGTAGGATTCTGAGCAAAGAAAATTACCAAAGAAGGACATTACAAAGTGATTAAAAAAAGATTAATTTGCTGAGAAGACATAACAATCCTAATGGGATGTACAATTATAGTTGAAGACTTCAACACTACACTCTGAATAATAAAATGAATAGACGAAAAATCAGTACAGATCATTAACCATCTGAATCTACTTGACACTTATAGAACACTCCACCCAACAAGAACAGAATGTATTTTCATTTTAAGTGCACATGAACACTCACCAAGACAGATCTTATTCTAGATCATAAAACAAACAAATCTTAACAAAGTTAAAGAATTGAAATCATAAAACAATATGCTCTGATTATAATGCTGTTAACCTAGAAATCAATACAGTAATTGGAAATGTTCAAACACTTGTTAACAACACACTTCAAATAACACATTGGTCAAGAAATTGCAGGAAAATTAGAAAATATTTTTTTAATATCTTTATTTTATCTATTTTTATGTGGTGCTCAGAATCGAACCCAGGGCCTCGAACATGCTAAGCGAGAGCTCTACCACTGAGCCACAATCCCAGCCCTAGAAAATATTTTGAACAGAACAAAAATAAAAATATGAAGAACACAAAAAATATAGAGTCAAAGTCCAGGGCAATTCCTAAGACATTCCAGAATAGCTCCCTACAAAATAGTGAACAACATATATAAACTGTCATGGCTGTGTCATCTCCATACCAGGTCTTACAGTTACCCAGATCTGGAAAGAAAAGAATCTGGATTCAGAAGTGATGTGTACCATTTACATTTATATTGGCTATAACTAGTGACATGGCTACACATAACTTCAAAGAGACTAGTAAGTGTGTTGAGGGATACAGTCAATGAGCCCTAAAATTCACGGCAGCACTAGTGAAGACAGAATTTTGTAGGATTCGGAATCTATTCTGGAGGCAGATTTAACAAGATTGCTAATAAATGGTCATGGTGAATGAGATTTGACTTATTAAAAGGATTCAGTCATTTTAGAAGCCTGACAGAGAAAATAGCAAGTGCAAAGGATTTGAAATGGAAACAAGCTTAGTGTGTTTTAGGAATAATGTGTTGCAGTGTACTAAACCTGAGACAGTGGTATCACATGGTATCATCCTGATAACCCATCATATTTTGAAAATGGAAAATGCACTTACTACATGGAACCTACTGAACACCATAGATTAGCAGCACAGTGGATTACAGAGTATCGTGATCATGTGGCCAACTGGGAATTGCAGCTCACTGATCCTGCCCAACATATGGCAAAAGAATATCACACCACCTAAAGTTAGCCCAGGAAAAAAAAAATCAAAATTCAAAATTTGATACCAATACTGAATGTGTATTACTTTCACACTATCAAGCTGAAAAAACATAAGTTGAATTGGCTTAAGCCACCAAAGGCTTTCATTTTAATTATTTATTTTTTTGCATATATTAGGGATTTAACCCAGGGTGCTTTATCAATGAGCTACATCCCAAGCCATTTTTATGTTGAGACAGGATCTCACAAAATTGCCCAGGTTGGCCCAGAATCCTGCCTCAGCCTCCTAAGTAGCCAGGACCATAAGTGTGTGCCACCACACCTGGCTTTAATTCACCTGGCTTTTAAATGAAAGGCTGACATTATTTGACTCTTGTAAAATGAATTATGGAAGGACAAGTAGTGTGCCCTGTTAGAAGGTTATTGCAGTAGTCCAGGTGAAAGGTGATCGAGGCTTGAACTATGGTGGTAACAGCAGAGATGGAGAGACATCAGCAGGTTCCACGTGAATTAAGTTTGTAATAAATTAGATGGATGGGGATGATACCAAAAGACAATGAGGAAAGATTCCTAGAGTTGATTCAAGTAACCAGGTGGTATTAACTTCCTGACATGAACAGGTTTGAGGAAGGGAAGAGAGGAAGATGAAAATCAAGAGTTCTTTTTTAGCCATGTTGTGTTTGAAAAACCTCTTGAATATCAAAGTACATATGTCAAATAAGAAATTAGGTTTCTGGGTGTGGAGTCTAGAGAAGAGAAGGGGCATATAAAGTTGGGACCTGTAAGATTAGATGAGATCATCTAAAGACAATGTATACATAGTGGCCAGAACAGAGCACTGGGACACCATACATTTAAAAGTAGCTAAAGTTGGGAGGAGACTAAAAAGTTGACAAGAGATGTAGAGGGAAACAGGAAAGTGTAGCTCCACAGAATATAAGAAGGAAAGCATTTCTAGGAGAAGTAAATGAATGCTACTCAAAGGCTAAGTAAGATGAGATTCAACT